CAATGAGGATATTGAAAAAGGTTGAAATTAAATTATTGCTAAATTATTAAAATTTATCTTTGTTAATCAATCAATTTATTTGAAAACAAAGAATTATATATGTGTATCAAAAAACTAGAAAGAGAAAATACTAAATTTGTAAAACAATTAGACCTAATTGAATTTATTAACAAGTTTTTCAAATAATTAGAATAGCAAAAAAATGAAATAGAAGATTTAAAAAAGGAAATTGACTGGTTCAAATCTTTGGAACCTGAACTGGATTCTATAGTAATGATAAAATTCAGAGTAGCTGATATATCAGAATCTGAAAGTTTGTTGAGTTTAGGAAAGTACTGAAGAATTCAACCTAGAAGAAGTAATAAAGAGGTAAAACTGGTAAAACCATTTATTAAAGATAAACTAAAATCAAAAAAAGTGAAAGTAAAAATAAAGGCAATGAAAATTATTCCTGATGAATATAAACTGAAAGTAGACAAAATTTTTTTGAATAATATAAATAAAAAAATATTATAAAGTTGATACTTGAATTAATAAAATCCATAGCTTCACATTTTAATCCCTTATGAAAGCAAACAAATAAATGGTTAAATACTTATATCACTATTAGAAAAAAAAATATCAGAAGGTAGAAACTAAAAAACAATTATTACTAATATGCAAATAGCCAATTAAATGAAATAATATTAATGATATTTTGCATTTATATTATTTTCAGATATTAATTTTTAATGAATAATTAAGAAAAAAGTATAAAGAATTAAAAATATACAGTTACTTATTGAATGAAGGTCAAAAAAAGTTGCCAAATATCAGAATAAATTAACTGATATAATTAAAGAAACAAAGGTATATTTACCTGAAAAAAGTGAGATTGATTCACTAAAAGAAAAATAAAAATATATAATTATAGTTTGCATTTTGAAGAGATATTTTTTGACAAAATATTTTATGTCAAATAATTACAATATTAATTATAATTACTTATAATTAAAGAATTTATTGAAATATTTGAATGAATATTTGAAATCAATTCAAGTATTCCAGTCAACTCATAAATAATATTATGTTGATTTATATTTCTATAATGTGATATTATTAGCCGGTTTGTATAATTGGATATACAGTTTGAAAGAAATTTTATAACATGTATAAGAAAAAGAAATAGAAAAAGGTAAAAAATTGATAGTTAAATCCAAAAGATAAAAAATTATTGAATATAAGGAATAATTAATATATATATTTAGAAAATAAGAAATAAACTAAAAAAAATACATGGATAAAATTTAGGAGGCAGTTAGTTAAAAAAAAAAGCAAAAAATCTTGAAAAATATTTGGCAAGGTAAAATCAATTGAAACTAGTTTTAAAAAAGAAGAAAAATGAAAAAAAAATAACAAATAATTTAGTCAATTGATTTTGTAATTTTTTAATAAATTTTGAGAAATTTGAAATTTTTATCACAATAATTTTTTTACTGAATTTTTTGTTTCAGTATCAATTTTTTATTAACTTTTTTTTTGTAACAATTTTTTTGTCAAATTTTTTGTCACAATATCAAATTTTTTGTTGAATTTTTTACTGCAATATACAAAAAAATTTTTTATTATAATATTCAAAAAAAAATTTTTTTGTTGCAATATTACTGGATTTTGTGTTGAATTTTTTTTACTGTAATATACTGATATTTTTAATACTGAGTGACAACAATTATAAAAGATTTGTCTATATTTTTATTATTAAAAATTTTCAAATTCAGCAATAATTCAATAACTGAATGATATAATTTCAACTAGTAAGAATCTAAAAATTTGCTGAGTTTAAGAAAGCATCAAAGAATTCAACTTAAAAGAAGTAGTAAAGAGGTAAAACCAGTTACTGAAAATGAGCTAAAATTAGAAAAAGCAAGAGCAAAAATAAAAATCTTAATAAAAACTATTCCTAATGAATATAAGTTAAAGATAGCCAAAGTTTTTTTGAGTGATGTGAATAAAAAAATATTACAAAAGTTGATATCTGAATTAATAAAATTCATAGTTTCACATTTTAATTTCTATGAAAATAAATAAATAAATGATTAGATGCTTTATATCACTATTAAAAAAATATATATTGAAAGGCAAAAATTGAAAAACTGAAAGGGGACAATCATCACTTATATATAAATAATTGATTAAACAAAGTAAGATTAATAATATTCTATATTTATACTATCTTCAAATATTAATTTTTAATAAATAATTAAAAAAAGAACATGAAGAATTAAAAGCACATAGTTGCTTGTTAAATGAGGATCAAGAAAGTTGCCAAATATCAAAATGAATTAATTGATGTAATTAAAAAAACAAAAATGTATTCACTTGAAGAAAGTGATATTGATCTGGAAAACCTTATTAAAAGAAAAATAAATGTATATAATTACTGTTGATGTTCTAAAGAGATATTTTTCGACAAAATATTTTATGTTGAATAATTACAATATTAATTATAATTACTTATAGTTAAAGGATTTATTGAAATATTTGAATAAATATTAGAAATTAATTCAAGCATTCTAGTTGACTCATAAATGATACTGTAATGATTCATATTTCTATAATATAATACCATCAGAAGGTTTTATGAATTGGATATACAGTTTAAAAGAGATTTCAGAATATAAACAAGAAAAAAAAACAGGAAAAAGTAAAAAATTGATAGTTAGATTCAAAAAATGAAAAATTATTGAATATAAGAAATTATTAATATATTTAGAGGGTGAGGAACAAACTGAGAAAAGTGTATAAATGAATGAAATTTGGGAGTAGTTAAATTAGAAGAAAAAGTAAAAAATTTTAGAAAACATTTAATAAGATAAAATTAATTGAAGCTAGTTTTAAAAGAGTTAAGTTGAAATCTTTAAAGGGAAAAAAAAAGCAAGTGGAAGAGAAAGAAGAAAAGGAAAAAGAAAATAATAAATAATTTAATTAATTGGTTTTATAATTTTTTAATAAATTTTGTGAAATTTGAATTTTTTGTCACAATAATTTTTTTGTTAAATTTTTTGTCAAATTTTTTTTCACTGTAATTTTTTTGCTAAATTTTTCAATTTTTTATTGAATTTTTTATTATAATATGCAAAAAAATTTTTTGCTACAATATTATTAAATTTTGTACCAAATTTTTTTGTCACTGTATGCTAATATTTTTTTGCCAATTTTTGCCTATATTTTTAATATCAAGTGTTAGTCATCATAAAAGATTTATCAATAATTTTATTATTAAAATTTTCTAAATATAGCAATAATTTGATAACTGAATAATATAATTTTGACTAGTGAGAATCTAAAAATTTGATGAGTTTAAAAAAGTATTGAAAAATTCAACCTAGAATAAGTAGTAAAGAGGCAAAACTGGTAAAATCAGTTATCAAAGATGAGTTGAAATCAGAAAAAACAAAAGCAAAAATAAAGGCCTTAATGAAAACTATTCCTAATGAATATAAACTGAAGGTAGACAAAGTTTTTTTGAGTAATGTGAATAAAAAAATATTACAAAAGTTGATATCTGAATTAATAAAACCTTTGGTTTCATATTTTAATCCTTATGAAAGCAAATAAACAAATAGTTAGGTACTTTATATCATCATTAAAGAGAAATATATTAAAAGATAAAAACTGAAAACTGAAAGTGAACAATTGTTATTTATATATAAATAATTGATTAAACAAAGTAAGATTAATAATATTTTGTATTTATACTACCTTCAGGTATTAATTTTTAATGAATAATTAAAAAAAGTCATAAAAAATTAAAAGTATATGGTTGCTTGTTGAATAAAGGTCAAAGAAAGTTATCAAATATCAGAATTAATTAACTAATATACTTAAAGAAACAAAAATACATTCACCTAAAGAAAGTAAAACTAATTTAAGAAACCTCACTAAAAGAAGAATAAATATATATAATTACGATTAGCATTCTGAAAAATATTTTTTGATAAAATATTTTATGTTAAATAATTACAATATTAATTATAATTACTTATAATTAAAAGATTTATTGAAATATTTGGATAAATATTTGAAATAAATTCAAATGTTTCAGCTGACTCATAAATAATATTATGATGATTCATATTTCTATGATGTGATACTACCAAAAGGCTTGCAAAATTAAGTATATAGTTAAAAGAGATTTTAAAACATAAATAAGAAAAAAAGATAGAAAAAGATAAATCAATAGTTAAATCCAAAAGATGAAAAATGACTGAATATAAAGAATCATTAATATATTCAGAGGGTGAGGAACAAACTGGAAAAAGTGCATAAATGGATGAAATTCAGAGGTAGTTAGGTTGGAAAAAAAAAATATAAAATCTTGGAAAATATTTGACAAGGTAAAACCAATTAGAATTAGTTTTAAAAGAGTTAAGCTGAAATCTTTAAAGGGAAAAGAAAAGCAAATGGAAAAGAAGAAAGAGAAAATGACGAATAATTTAGTCAATTGATTTTATAATTTTTTAATAAATTTTATGAAATTTGAATTTTTTGCTACAGTAATTTTTTTGTTGAATTTTTTATTGCAATATCAATTTTTTGCTAAAATTTTTTTTACAGTAATTTTTTTACTACAGTATCAATTTTTTTGCTAAATTTTTTGTTGAATTTTTTATCACAGTATACAAAATTTTTTTTTGTCACAATATGCAAAAATTTTTTTTTTGCTACAATATTATTGGATTTTGTATCAAATTTTTTTGCTGCAATATGCCATATTTTTTTGCTGATATTTTGCCAATATTGATTTGTCAATATTTTTATTATTAAAATTTTCCAAATTCAGCAATAATTTGATAATCAAATAACATAATTTCGATTAATGTAAGTATAATATTTTGTTATATTTTATTTCTAAATGATTTTTTTTCTAATAAAGAATTTTGATTTTTTATAAAAATCTCTTTAATTAATAATAATTATTTGACTTTTTGATCGACTTTAAAAAAGATTGTTATAATGAATTATCTCAAAACAATGATAAATTGATTTCTTGTTAAGTTTTTAGAAAAATTTTTTCTTTGCTATAAAAATCTGCAATAAACTCAATAGATTTGCTATCAAAAAAAAAAAAAAACTGCATAAATAGAATATGATTATTGTTAATGCCACTTCAGATGGTATAGAACAGTTGATATTAACTTAAATATATTCTGTATCAATAAAAGTAATAACTAATGCCTGTTTTGTAAAAAATTGTAACATGTAATTTAACTATTAAAATTAATACCGAGAAAAATCATATTGATATGGTTTATTGTAAATTATTAAAATAATGAATTATATCAAATTTCAATTATCAACCACGATTGTAAAAAAAGATCGAGATTTTAAAATTAAACTATTTTTTTTCTTTTACTCTTCGATTCGTCAATCCGCAGTTCTCTCTTAGAACTCTATATAAAATATATTCTTTTATGGCACTACGGTGACGCAACAAACCTTTTCACATTCTCCAACCATGAGACATATTCTTTCTGTTCCTTGTATTCAACATAATTTGGAATGAAGAGAGCAACTGCAGTATTTATACCACGTTCCTCCAAATATTTCTCAAAGAGAACTTGTACATCCTGTCACGTGAATGACGGAAGAATTCATTTAGAATCAATTACTAGATAACAAATATCAGCGAAATAGACTACAAACATTATCCAATGTGTCGAATTGTGGGCCCGGATAGTAACCTCTCCGTTTCCAGTCCGCCTCAGCTGTCCAATCACCAGCCAATTTAGCATCATGATAATATGACACGTAATTTATGAGAAAGACACCATCGGTAACCAAAGATTCGAATCCTAATGCGCCTTTACCAGCCTTGATTTTAAAGATCGAAAAAATTTTGTAAAATTCTAAACCCATCCAATAATTACACGTCGACCAATCTAGAGAAATCACAATTAGCCGGCCTTACTTTTTCGATAGTGATAGAACATCTAACTGGCAACGATTGTTCACTCGTGTCTTCATCATCATCCTCCTCGTCTTCATCGACTTGCTTAGATGTAGTGAATAAATGGAATAGTTAATTTATAATGATGCTCATTTCTGTACGCACAACTTATAAAATTTACATTGCCGTCTTCGTCGTCATCGTCCTCCTCATCTCCAGGAAATGAAGCTTGATCTGATTGTTCTGAAGTATTGATGTCGAAAAGCAAACGAATTCTGTATATAACCAATCAAAGTTCAATTAATTTCTAATAATTATTGGGAGACGGCGAAGAGTGCAGACCTTTCGTTCCCAAACGTTCTTGTGAGAGCGACTTCGTTGGCGCCTGACTTATCTTCTATCTTTTGCATTTCCAAAAAAATTACTTCAGAATTTACTCGACAAAAAAAAAAGTGATAAAGGTGATTGTTACTTTGAATGGGTTCTGTGACAAGAAGTTTTTTATGAAATCGGGAGTTGGTGCAAGGGTTTCATTTTCTTTTTCGTACTTAAGTTCGTCAGCTAGCTTGGATGACAACTCTTTGTCGACTGAGAATGAATATTAGAGTCGCAAAATAATCCCTCATGTCGGTTAGTTTTTTAGGCAAGGAAATGTCAAAAAAAAAGTCGTGAAAACGTATTTACTTGAGGCAGCGGGTAGTGATCGAAGACAGGTCGTGGAAAAACCGCGGAATCTTGGAACTAAAATGTTGCTTCTCTCAGGAACCTGTAATAAGGGCGTCAGGCGTACTCGACGTGTTGGAACTTTGAAGGAAGACTTGAGCAAAGACCTCAACAAAGAAGTACGAAGTAGGTTGGTCATAATGATGAATGTGAATGGCGTTTAAAAAATTTTTGATCGATTATCAGTATTATGCATACAATCACATGACTTTGTTCTGACCTTTCCGTCTTTCTAAATTTTTTAGCTCAGAATAAAACTATTATTTCTTTTCCAGCAAATTTCGCCCAATTATTTTTTGAATTGGTATAAATACACTTCGTTTTGAGATCAATAGTGATTAAAAATTAACTAATTTTGTTTGTACAAAGTTTGTCATAATGATATATATGCCAAGGAAAATTAAAGGGCAGAATACAAGAATTATTGGCAAAGGATTTCATATTGAAGGAAACCGAACAGAAACAAATGTACATTATCGATTTATCTCGGTAGCCGGCACTGGCTCCTTTTTTCTTTTCTTTTCTCTCTCTTTTTTTTTTTTTAGCGAAGAAAATTCGGACCTTTTTCAATAAATAAAACCAGTGATACAGCATACAGCACTTCGTAGAAATTTGAGTGCTTAAGTCAAGCATTCTTCATCAAATCCCCGTAATTTGTGAAATTTTGCTTTCCCTGCAAAGAGGCGTCGGAACCATTGTTAGATTCAGAGGCAATGTTGTGATGGAAAACGTAAGAATAAGCTGTTGTTGTATTCACATATCTTGTATACAATGGATTTTGACAATTGAATGGTTCTGAATTTCTCGGAAGTTGCTCGTGAACTCTCGGAAAAGCCTGGACTTCCGGGTGGTGATAATAAGGTTGTGTTTGATGTTGTGCGAAAGCGTTAATTTGCTGTGATTCCAGTTGAAGTTGAGTTTGACCTTCGCCAAGCGGATGCCTTACACGTTTTTTATAATCCGTTGTAGAATTAACATCGTTAAATGACGATCCTTCTTGCTTAATTGAGACAGGATAGGTATTTGGTGGGATTGAAAAGACCAAGGGACTATCAACTGCTGTTCGCAGTGTGAAAGTCGGTGGAGACTGTGGACTCGTCTGATACTCCCGTTCAGTTCTGTTGATGGGGACAAGTCCATCGTCATTCGTGGTACTTGTCGACGATTGCATTTGTTGCGGCGATTTCGAGTTGACACCGCTAAAATTGACTTGTTCTTTATCAGTGTTTGATATGCATGAGGAATATTTTTTGCCATCCGATATCTCATTCTCCCCATTCACAGGAATTTCTTTGGTCATCACAGATGGGTGTTTTCCCTTTTCTTCATCAAGAGCCGGCCCGTCGTTTTGAACTTTGGGACCATCGTTAGGGGTATTTCCGTCTGATACTCGAGGTGGTGATAACTTAACGTTCGTTGCTACTTCACTGTTAGCAGGAGGTGGCTTGTCCTTTAACTCATCATCACTTTGTTTGGAATCATCCTGGGATTTGTCCAACATATCACTGCAAACCTGAGAAAGTACCGATAAATTTGCGCCCTCATTTTCCTTCTCACCACCAGAAGTTGTATCACACTTGCAATCCGAAGATTTAGCAATGGTCTTGGTAGGTGCCACCAAAACCTCGGTATTGGCTTGTTTCGATTGTTCTACTTTTGTTTTGGATACATTCTCGGTCTGAGACAATGACTGCCAACCTTGCGATGGTGTTGTTTTGTTAGTGGAGGGTAGTGGCGGTGGCAGTGGTTGCTGTTGTTGAAGATAGGATGGTGGAACGAGGACATAATAAGAAGTTGTCCCTGTCGTCGCAGGAATCATCACAAATTGCCCTATATTTGAGGGAATGGCAGCATTTTGAGTATTCGGTTGCATCGCCACAGTTTGTGGTTGGAAATTGGGTAATTGTAAAGTGACCGGTATGGGTATGGGATTGGGATTTACGGGCGGAGCGTTAGGATCACTAGGAGGAATGACCGGAAGCATTATTGAGGCAGTGACAGGAGTTATTGCTTCTGGGCCAGGAGATCTATTTGCATCAGAGCTGGTTGCACTTTCTGATTCAGAGTAATTAAAGGAATGGAAATACATTTGGCATTTTAAATATGTATCAAAAATGTATTTAAGATTTGCATAACATTTACAGGAAAAATAATTTTTTTTTTTTTTTTGTACCTCTTTGTTGCTGCCTACGCTTGTAGGGTCCTCTCTTTATACCCTTTTTCCTCTCTTTTCTAATTGAGTTTTGACACGTCTCTGTCAATTCATATTTGATGCATCGTTGACATGGCCTTCCGTCGTCGCATTTCTTGCACGCCTTTTGACAGTTAACTAGAAGTGATACGAAATATTTATTAACAGGCGTCAAATTCCAAGATCCCGGTAACGAGATTTGTTTGTTTGTTTGTGTTTTTTTCGGAAATTAAGAATATGGGGATCGTGCTACCATATTACGTGAAAACTAGACTCCACTTAAATTCTCCTTTTCGCACTTTTTTTTGCATTACGATATTTACCAATTGGGGATATAATAGAATGACTTACCACAAGCATTTTTAACTTGTTTTCTTTTAGGCTTTGCGCCAGGTGCCGGCTGAGAAACTGGTCCTCCGACGGTGTTTGGAACATAAGCATAAGTGGCACCTTGAGGTATTTGATGACAATTTGTGGCTTGTGGAGCCGTTGTGAAAGGTTGAAAGGCCGCCGGCGTTTTCTGAGGTGGTGATGATTGCTGCTGTTGATTTTCAAGACTATACTGAGTGCCTGAAGAGGTTCCTTCTGACATATTATCTTGTGCTCTCTTTGCGAGTTCAAAGGTCTTTACTGCGCACCTTAACCTTTTTTTTAACAAGACGAAATTTTAATATCAGAGAAAAAGGGTAATAAGAATTAAAAGAGAATGTGAAAATTCTTAGAAAAGAAAAATCTGTACAGAAAACGGCGAATTTATTTGATCTTATTTACTAACTCCTTTGAGGAGAAGAAAATACAGACTGAGAGTTAAGAGGAGTTGACCTATATTTATATTTATAGCGGATACTTTTGAGCCTTAGACGGATCAATTGATTTAAATTTTATATTAATAATCCGCTTCGAATTTTACATAAGTCATCATTGTATACGTCAACAAATTTGTGACTCAGAAGATTTAATAGACTATGTTTATAAAAAGAACTACGCTTGAAGTAAGTAAAAAATCAGTTCCGTGTAAAAAAAAAAAGGTACAGTATGATACCAATGATGATCAGTTAATGGTTACTGCAATGTCGATGCTGAAATAAATTATATATAGTGCATTTTAAAAAAGGTTCCGATAAAATGGACTTTTTTTTTGACACAGGGAACGTTAGATATACGGATATACAGTACGTATAGTTAGGTGTAGTTTCGGACAATGATCAAAGATGCAAGTGATCGAAATGTGATCAAGCGTTGCGCCCACACATTTGGCGCAGTTTGCATTGTGACTGTAATTTGTTTGATTCGCGATGCGAAAAAAAATGCATATGAGGTCACTCTTCAATAATACGCCCACTAGTTTATTACATTTTGATGAATACTTGTTTATATATGGCATGTGACTATATAAATGTAGTGTTGCTTTTCATGATTTGATTCGCTTAAAAAAGTACATACACCGAGATTGAAATTTATACAATTGCGCTTGCATGATCTATCTCTAAGATGTTCCAACGAACTGCTACGAACTTTTTTCAAGTAACTTTTGACGTAAATTTACTAAAAAAATTTTTTATCTCGAATTTCGTTTTTTGATGATAGTACTGATAGGTCCTGTGATGCTTATGGACTAATCCTCGGCTTTGCAAGAATAAAATTCAGATCGAGTTCGAAATGAAGTTACGAAGCCTCATAGATAAATACAGTTGCGCTAGTTCTTCGTATTGATTTCAAAAAATCCGTTGTCATCGTGCTTTCCTTGTAAGATAGGCGTTCATCGCCTAAGCCACAACCAATCAGATCAATCGACAAACCAACAAAATTATAAATAGAACGATCACCATAAACACTGTCATCAATCTTTCTTTTTGAATTGCAAAAAATGCCAAGTCAACGGTCAAACGCCGATTGTAGCATCCTAGAATACCTAAAATATCTTGGTGATTATATAGATACATTAGAGACTCTGCCGGCAGATATGCAACGAAGCTTCACCCTCTTAAAACAACTTGACGTTAATGCGCAAGACGAACTTACCAAGGTCGCGGAACTGTCTATGCGATTGGTACAGAATGTAAACGAGTTTAGTCCCGAAGAAAGAATAGAACAACTGAGGAGGTTTAGTGATAGTCTATGCACAACCTGGAAATTTGCCGAAGAAAGGGTGTCAATTGCCATGTCAGCATATGAATCCGTCGACATGCATATTAGAAGGTTGGACGATGACCTCAAAAAGTTGGAAGACACTTTAATGACTGGTCCCAGTAAAACTCACGAAATGATAGATGACGTCATTCAAGAAGAAAAGAACCCTCGTAAGCGAGCTGCAAAAGGTGATGAGAAAACTAAAAAACGAACTGCAAACGCTGCCGTAAAACGTAAACTCACAAAGAACATTAAAAATTCTAAAACCTCGAGATTTGAAAACCAGAAAGAGGGAAGAGATGAAGATTCGAGGAAGAATAGGAAGAAGAGCAGAAACTCCGTTTCTGGGAAAACGACTGCAATCGAAGAAATTCAAACTGTCGAAGATATGCCTATCGATCCAAATGAACCACTTTACTGTTATTGCAACAACGTCAGTTACGGTGAGATGGTTGCTTGTGATAACGAATGTGAAATATTATGGTTCCATTTTCCCTGTGTCGGACTTACCAGTAGGCCAAAAGGAAAGTGGTATTGTAATGAGTGTTCAAAGATTGTAAAACACCAAAAGAGGTAATCCGATTGTTGGGACATTAAAAACTTTATTAAGGATAATTTGAAAGATTCCCTTTAAAAGGAGAAGTTGTAAATAGAGCGTAAATTATGAATGAATGTTCAGCGTGCACGTGTGACTCACATTTTTTAAAACTATGAAGACGGTCGTGCCGTTTAAGCATGCGAAATTCTATTATAAACATTCGGTAATCTAAATTGGATTCGATAGTTTTGAAAAAAAATTTTTATATTAATCTAATAACCTGTCCTCTCTGTGTATTATGATATATTTAAAAAAATATAATTAACTTTTTATTTTTACAACTCAATAGATAAAATAATAATTAAATAAATTTCTAATATTACTAAAGATTCTATTAGTTTGATAACTACTATTTGAAGATTTGAAGTGTAATATTAATATTAAAAGTAATATACAAAAAAAAATTTTTTTTAACATATCAAATATTTAATAGGATTATAATTTGAAATTCAAATTTAAATAATCCATAAATTTTATTTAATTTTTGTTTTTTCGAGCAGATAATTTAGTCATTTTATCTTACTTTTTTTTTTTTTTTTTTTTAATTCTTTATCAAATTAGTTATAGGTACTTTATTAAACATTTGTAAACTGTATATAATTTATATATCACTAAAGCTAATTTTTAATTAACTCACTTGTTCTAGTCAATTAACTCTAAGTGTAATTTCTAAAGTAATTTTTGCTCCATTAGTAATTCAGGTAAATTATTGTCTACAGGTTATCGCTGCAGAGTCATATTTTATTTTACTATAATCTATATATACTGTATAAAACAAAAAAATAATAATTTAATCTATTATTATTATATTTAGTTAAATTAATTTAGATTATTATCTAGAAATTTTATCACATTTTTTAAATAAATAAAATAATTAATAAAACTTAACTATACAATTATTAATTATAAATATCAAGCAATTCTTAAGATAAAAAACTCTTTTTACTTTAAATATGACTTCAAGAGTCACTTCTATTCTTTTCCTATTGTCTACAAATTTTTTTACTCAAAAATTGACTTCTAGTGACCATAAAAAGTCAAGTAATACCTTTGATATCAATAGCAAAAAAGTTTCCAAAGAAAAAAGAACTGATTATAAATTACTTAAAAGTCTTTTTAACCTTTGAAGTAGAAGATTTATAGAGGTTTTCTATAGTAAAAAGTCTTATTTTCTTCCTTTTTGACTGTTTTGATTCTCTTAAAGCTTTCATTTTCATAGTTTTTTAAGAAATTTTACCTATTTCAATTTGACCCTAAATTTTGGATAGCATAAATCCTCATAAAAGATGATGGCTAAAATAAAACATATTAGTTTTTGAAATATAAACAAGCTTCTATTAATCATACTCTCATGTCTTGACATATTATTAATAATGTTGAAAAAAAATTTTATAAAAAAATGTTTTCTTCAATTGTGTATATTCAATTTTTAAGAAATAATTATGATACCAAAAAACAAGTGAATAATAGAAAAAAAAAGAACTAATTTCTATTTTTTTATTAAGTTTCTCAGATAGTGAAAAAACTTTCTTAAATAAAAGTCAAGATCTTTAAGCTTTTATCCTAATAAAAAAACAAAGTTTTTGAAAAAATTTCTTTATTCCAGTTAGACAAACTCTTTTATAATATAATATTTGATTCAGTAATATTAAATAAATCTATATATTAATAAAAGAATAAGTTCTTCAACTATTCTTCTTGAAATCACTTTCAGGAACAATTAAATTTCTCAAATATCATGAAACTTAGAAAATATCCTAATCAAGTAAATCTTTTTTGAAAGAAAACTGTGAAATAAAACAAAAACCTTTTGAAAGGCTTTGAATTGTATTTTTTTTTTCCTTTACTTAGTATTATACTTTAGTAATTTGTCATTTTTCAGAATAATCAACAATGACAAACTATTAACGATGATTCCAATAGTTAAAGATTTTAACCAAATTATTGAAATAGTATAATATTGTCTTCTAAATTTGACTTAGAGTATCTAGTTTAAATTTAGTTTTGTTTAATCTAAACTAGTTTAGTAAACTCCTTATATTTTTTAAGTAATATAGTTTTTTAACTAATAATATATAATAATAAGTTAGTCACTTTGTAAAAGTTTATAAACATTATAATATCTTTCAATCTTAATAAAAATATATTATTGTGATATAATTACAGATTAAAAAAAAAAATTATTGATTATAAATTTTTTAGTTTTATTATTAAGCTTTTATTACTTATATTTTTATTTAATTATCAAAAATAAATAATTTTAATTTAATTTAATTATTTTTTAAAAATTTTAATTAAATTTCAAAAAAAATTTTTTTAATCCTTTGTCAGACTAGTTATTAAATTTCAAAAAAAATTTTTTTTTAATCCTCTGTCAGGCTAGTTATGTGTACTTTATTAAACATTTATAAACTATACATATAGTATGAATTATTAAAGCTAAAAAATGCTAACTAGCTCACTCGTCTTTGTAATTACTACTCTAAGTGCAACTTTGGGAGTAATTTATCACTCTATTAGGAGTTTAGGTGAAAACCTTTTCAACTCTTAATATCATTGCCTACAGGTCACTACTGTAGATCACTTTTTAAGTTCTGATATTACTCAAAACCCAACCATCTCATTCCAAATCTAACTTCTCTTGATAAGATATCTTTTAGATTTTTATCTTCTAATCTTCTTTCCTCCAATATCAGAGTTTTCCTTTCCAGTCATATGGTTTTGGTGCCTGAGAAATTAGGGGGTCTTTTTATCTTATCCTTCTTTTGGATTCTTTGCAATCTTTCTCATTCTATCAACCTTTCACATCTTACATTTCAAACCTTCTTCTGGAACTGGTTACAAGTCATACCTTGCAACTTCTTAATTCATTTTCTTGCTTCTTTTCCAATTTTTTTACCATGGTATTTAAGGTCTACCATCTCAAGAATAAGTTTGTATTTTATTAATCCTACAAAGAAGCTTAGTATATCCTGACTAGTTGCTGAGAACTATTTCACTAACCTGAAAGTCCACTTGTCTACTTTATCTATTTATTCACTGTTATCTACTATTAATTTAGTATTCTTCTCTTCTGCTTCCTTTTTCCTTTCCTGTAAAAGTTTTCTGAAATTTATCAGAACTCCTTCGAGATCTTTGTTCCATATCTTCTTCATCTATTCCTTATATACTAGGCATTCTAGTAAGTGATTAATTGTTTCTTCCTCCTGAAGATCACATGCAATACATTTCACTTGCTTGTATAGGTAAAGATGGGTTCCTCAAGGGGGAGGCAGGGACAAAAGTCAAATGTCCTTCACTAGAAAATATTAAAATTTTTATATTAATAACTATAAAAAAACTATCCACAATTGTTCTTCATTATCTAAATTATTGATTTATAGTATTTCTTGACTTTTGTTTCTATTAAAGTAAAGAGTTATGAATTTTGTCCCTCAAAAAGGGACATAAGTGATTTGCAAAATTTTATATGCTAAATACTTTAGGAACCCATCATTATGTATAGGTCTGGCCTTCTTATTGTTAGTTTACTTAGTGTTGGTAGCTCATCATTCATTAACTTAATCAGAAAGCTCTTTCTTTGACAATCTTTGAAAGATGTATCCCACATATGGCTATTTATTCTCTCCCATACTAGATTCCATGTATGGCCTTGTTATTCTTGAATTTGGTGGCTCCATTTCTTTTCTATTCTATTTTGTAATATCCACTGATATACTGTAGTCTTATTATTTATTTTCTTGATAAATTGTCTTATGTGATTATCTAAAGTTTTGTTCTGCCACTTGATTTCTATAAGGATTTTGTATGAGGTAAGATTTTTCCATTTTATTGCTGAAAGTTTAAGAGCATCTTTGGCTAGGGCATCTGCTTTATTATTATAGGAGTCTCGAGAATGTGACTTGACCTTGATAAGCTTCAGATCTAAATCTTTTTTCTTAACCAGTTCTACTATTCATGCCTATAGTGATCAGTTTTTATTCTTTAGTCATCTTTTATGTATTCTTTTTGGATCATCTTTCTCAACTATTTTTTACTTTGAGATATAGGCTTGACTATCTATAGAGATTTCAATTGAGCTACCTACTAGAACTACTAGGAGTATTGTGACTATTGCCATTAGTTCTGCATATATAGATAAGAACCAACTGTCTACCCTTATTTGAAATCTACTTTTTTTTTCTATATCACTTATTTGGATCCATGCTATACTCATCTTCATATTGTCACTGCCATAATTTATTAGTGATCCATCTGAATAGAATGTTAACTTTTGTTTGGATCCTAGATTACACTAAAGTATCTCTATTAGGTGGTCTTGATATGCTCCTTCTTTAATATTTTCTTTAATGATTGCTTCTTTCCAACTTTCTATATTTACATAATCCATCTTGGTACCTTGGGAAGTGGATTGCTGGATTGGTCCCTGCAGACTCTGTACAAATACTTGATTGCTATCTATTGTTTTCCTAATTGCTCTTTCCAAAGATATTGTGGGACATGGAATTGTTGGCATTTGGGCTCTCCTAGTATTTTTTTTTGTATTAAAATATGGTATCATATATATCTTTTCTATATCTTCCTTTATTATGCAACTTTTTTTTTGAATAAAACCTTCTGAGCAACCCATCCATGTATTTGATTAGCTTTGTCTTTTGACCATTTTTACTATTCTGATACTTGTAGTGTTCGATCCTTGCTTTTTTCTTAGGTTCTTTTTGTAGTAGCTTTTCCCATATTAGTTGGTAATTGGCATTCTTTTTAATTATTCATATTTTTTGTCTCTTGTCATGGTTAGAGCTGACTATAGAATATGTTGGTTCCCATTTTAACCAATCTATTTTCCATGTCTCTATAAGTTGATTTAAATGATCTTTGAAAAACATTCTACTTATGTTTAAGAATCATTCTGAAATAGGACCTTTGTTAATTTTTTGGATGAGTTGGAACATGTGCCAATTTCACACTTTATTTGCTTC